GTAACTATCATCTTAGTTTCGTATACTTGCTCATTTTTCTACTTTAATGTAAAACCAGAAAATAAAGAAAACAATTGCTAAAGCCACGTTTAATTGTGGTGTCGCGCGTTTGGAGAACACGCTACGCCGACAGGTGACAAGGCTAAGCCAGGAACAAACGAAAGGGGGAATCCCATCTCTACGGCGCAAGGTTGAAGAACAAACCCGGGGGTACTTGCTGTAATCGCCTATACAGGGAGGCTCCGCCCGAAAAGAGTGCCTTTTGTATAGGCCTCAGGTATATGAAAGGGTAGAGATTTCACTTGTTGAAGTAATATAAAAGGGTAGGGAAATCTGTCATACCGGACTGTAGAAAGACCCAAAAGGGCTCACAGATGCACTTCATGGCTGCGAAATAGTCGAGAAAACGTTCTGCATGAATGATTCCTATTTAAAATACAGTGTATTTAAAGCAGTTATATAAGGAATGCATAGTTGTATCCCAGGTATGTGAAAGGAGTACCATTTGTCATAGAAGGTATATACAAAGGGATACCTTTTCCGTCATAAGGGTAAGGGGTTTGTCTTTGGGGCGGAGCATCCCCGTTTAAACTTTATGAGTTCTCCCGGAAGAAGAACATTGTTAAAAGATCTGCAATTTTTAATAACTTCATGCCTGCAAGTACTTCCTTGGTTGTTTCTCTTTACAGTACATACACGGCATAATACTCCACACGCACGTTTTTGTGTGATTGTCCAGTTCTTCTCTTTTCATTATCTGAGTGCAATTTTCGTTGGTACAAGTAACAATTTTGAACTGGCAAGTTTCCAGGTGAGCCTGTTACAAGCAATAAAATATATAAAAAAGAAAGAAAAAAGTGATCTTCTTTCCTTGGTTAAATGCTGAAATCCATGGCACTTTGAATATAATTATTATTTTGGGTTTTTACCTCTTTGTTCCTCAGTTCATCAGTCCACGAACAACCGTCACTTGGGCATTTGATCATCAAAGACAAAATTTTCCTTCCTGTTGCATTATCAGGAAAAACATCCTAAAGTACAAAACAAAACGGAATTAATCAAACAGCGCAAGATCATTCTTCGCGGGAAATACCTGAGCCAAGTTAACAGGCTGCTATCATTATCATAATCATCATCGTCATCATCATCATTATCAATATCATTATTGAGATTCGAAGATGGCGGTGCTCGATATTTCTGAAATACTCCTGAAACACTCCTACTCCTTGCCATGTGGGTAAAGGGTGAGAACGTGTATGCAACTGGTCTTGTCCTTAAAAGCTTGAAAAATTTAGAACCTATCTTTCGAAACTTTGTAACAGCTCGTTCCGATCGACTCCGCCTATGTAATTTAGTTCACATGTAAGCGTGAAAAGACTAAATAAGACCAAAAACATATTAACAACAGACGTAAGAAGATAAAAAGCAAACGAAAGTGATTTACCCGGTCTCGGTCCAGGCGTTCCCTATCTGCAGGACAAGAGTAAGGGTGGCGCTGCTCTTCCTGTCTGTTATTTTGCAGTGTAAGAAACAATTAAGATTAATTGACTATATTTAATAAAAATTAATAGGAAAATCGATTGATGGATAGTTACTAATTAATTCCATCATAAAACTTCTTTCTACTAACTTGTGGCTGATTTTATTTGCCGAGCCTAAAACCCACAGAATTCAAGACATTTCAAAAATTGACAAGTTTTTATGCTTTGCTAGGACTCAAAGGCCAGCTTGCGAAATTGGAACGCTTATTTATTGCTAAGCATTGATCATGAAAGACAGAATATCCGCATTCCAGAGCAGATCAGTAACTTCGAACAATGGCTACTTGTCTCCAATTTACGGAAACGAGACACGTTTTGTAATTTCAGAAGTTTGCTAATAGAAAACAACCTTAAGTAACTTGTGCGTCAGTAACATAATTTAACGGTGATTATCAGCTGGGTGGGATGTACCAGATTTGATTTATCAGTTTAAGTTTTAATCTATTTGAAATCTAAATTTGAGAGACAAGGCCTTCGTCTAATAAATCGATTAAGCTGCTAAGGTGTCTGTTGTTTGCATTAGTAAATAAGGGTTGTTGACTTTCCGTCAACTGAGATGTTCTTACTCAGATCGAGGTGTTCAATGGAAAGCGCACCAGTGCTGGCGTTTTTCGTTAAGGTGTCAACTGAAGGTTTGGAATAAAAGTTACTTTAACACTCAACTTTCAATAGAATTCAGGCATTTAGGCCTACCTTCTGAAATGTTTCTCAAGGCATGCATTACAAAATCTGTGACCGCATCTGGTAAGAACAGGCTTCCTCAGTGGCAAATGACAAATTAAGCAAAGAAAATCTTCGTCTACTTCATCAGCAAACTCCTCGTCATAACCTGAAGGCAATTGCAGATTGCCTGGCGCTTCCGCCATGTTGCAAAAATGCTCCAGTAGGCTATTACAAAAGCGAAACCCTGAGGGTCATACGTTTTATGTAAAGTACAATCTCGCATGTTCAATGGTCAATTGTAAGTCTCTCAACCGAGAGAGATCATTCAAAATCATTTTGGGGAAGTGGGGTGGGTGGACAAACGAACGTAAAATAGAGAACAAACACTAGATTACCAGGATAAGTTACAAAGTGGGTGTAAAGCAATAAATATTTATTAGATACGTGTTGCTTTTAAAGGACCAGAATTATGTGCTTTACATCTTTAAAGTACCATCTTAATCCTAGGCAGTGAAAACAATCGGTGAACGTGAAAAACTTTGAAGTGGTGAACTCAGCAATGTGCGCTATTTTTACTCTTTGTCACCGCAAAAATTTGGCCGTCAGGCGCTAAAGTGATTTTCCTCCCGAAAAAAATGTTATTTTGAATTATTTCCAAAAACTAATGCAGTTTTACTTACTTTTGGACCAAGATAAATTCATGGGCAAAGTTTAAACAAAATTGATTTTCCCCCTCGAAACGCAGTCGACCGGTTTTAGGGAGTCTCTCTTAAACAACTTTTTTGCCCCGTGTAAGGGAATACGGATTTCAGAAACCGTGAAATTTTTGCTTCTGGAATCCACAATGCTGGAATTTTCACTTGTGGACTCCGGAATCTTGGGCTTTGGAATCTGGAACACAGCTCAAGGATCCGGAATCCACTGCGTGAAATCCAGAACCCAAGGCCTTAAACCGCCAATGTAACAGCAACATAAAAAGGTCAAGACGGACTCCATCACAAAACTGAGTATACTATACCAGAATAATTTAAACAATATCGCATTCTTTTTTACATTTTTCAAGGGCTATAGATGTAATTAGTTATCTGTAATACTCCCAGTCAAAGACTATTTCTCATGTTAGCCCGAGAAAATAAATGTCAAATTCAAGAATTGTGAAAACACATGTAAACTTCTGAACATTTTATGATTGTGTAAGCTGTCATTTTGTGAAATTTGACATTGTCACTTTCTTTATGTGTAGCTACAATCTTAAAGTAGAAAAAACTGTTTGAATGCAGAGGTCCACGCAACAAGTAAATACAAACTGACTTTTTCCTCTTGCCGGTTCTCTAATTAAAGAGATGCTGTAGCCAGACGTCACTTGATATCTAAAATAAAATAAAACTGAATGCAAGGCTGGCACAACGGCAAAGGGCTGATTTATTCTAGGCAAAATATTTCGGGGAAAAAGTTAGCCTTCCTTGGGGCTTGAGCTACGCCGAGAGAAAATATTTTTAACGGCTTCCAAAATTTAAATTTAAAATAAGGAGGAAAACAGGAAGAGGGAGAAAGAGGGAGAGAGGAGGGGAGAGGTTCCATCGCTGTCATTCCCTACCCCACCCCCTCGCTGTTTTTTTTTTTCAGCGCACATCTTCTTGCGAAGTCCACACGATCTGAACACGCCTGGAACAGACAATGTCCAAGTGTTTATTTAAAACTAAGGGAATCAGCCAGAGAGATTTTTAGAATTGACAGAACATTTTTTAGCTTTCTTAAACTTGATATTTAAATTATTTATTACCTTAGTATTCTAGCTTTGTAGGATTTAAGGAATTTATAGGGCCATAAGGGAAGAGTACAGTGCGACTGTAATTATGCACCCTATTGAAATTAAAGTGCTTGTTTGTTTGTTTGTTTCAATCGGTCTAATTCGCAGGAGGGTGCTTATTCCAGAGGAAGGTGGAGGCGGTGGGGGGCGAGGAGTCGCTTACTAAGTTTCGTGTCAAGGAACGAAATCTTTTTTTGCCAATTCTTCAAATAGAAGAAACCTCACACACATAATACATAGGTAAAGATTTTTGTAACTGGCTTAAAGCAGAAGAAATTAAAGAAAATTCCATTTGGATATCCATCCTATTTATCAAAAGTAGGGAGATAATTATGGGAACGTATGTTGGATGGTCAACTGACCGCAAGAATTGTATGGACAGTTCAATACAGGTTCAATCAACCCAAGCGTCTTCTTCTATTTTTTTTTTCAAACAGAAAAGAAACAAGAGACCATTCAACGCCACAAAATGTAACCAGTGCACTTATATAATACATCTTAACAATGAGTACAATGAAAAAAAAAATCGATAAGGGCAAGTGACCATTTTTAAAACAGTGGGTGAGCTTAATACATGTTTGAATTTATTTTCTAAATTGGCTGAGGTGGTGGGAGCTTACTCAAACAAATATTGAAACACTTGTGGAAGACCGCTACACGAGGGATGTACACGCACTTAGCCTGCGAAAACTCTTTTTAATAAATCAAGAAGTAACTTATATAGCCTACTTAAAATATTCACATCTCCACATTACGTAAGGCTAATCTTAATAAGAAATACAACAATTTATGCTTGGCACTCGTTACAAATTAAGCTTCAAATCCGTTCAGTTACATGAGTTCTTAGTTCTGCAGTATACGTAAGTGGGTGAAACGTGAATAACCTCGTTTCTTTAGAAAAGGTCTCCAAATTCTGGACCTGTGGGCTGTAAATCAATTACGATATTTGTATGATTCAATTGAAAAGAAACGGACTAAGGTGATAACTAGTCATCAGGTCCTACATCGACCTGAAGAAACAGAGTGTCATTTACAATGTAGCTCCTTGTTCTAAGTACCTTATGAGGCATGAAAAACAGTGGCTCACTTTCAACTGCCTTCACTTTTCCTCCTGGTCTTTCTAAGAATTTCATGTCTTTTAATTCCCGTTTTCTTGGGCTAAAAAAATGAGAATAGTTTTTCCTTTCTTTAAGATCACTGTTTTGATCAATTATTGTGAACGTTATTTTCCTGCTGAAAGGCCAGGGTAATATGCCATCATATTTACCTTCCATTAAAACAATACCGATCACGAATTGCGGAGAAATAGACGACAGTTCCTCGAAGTAAGGATGGGCAAACACTTTTAATTTGTAGCCATAACGTCCAGTGTAGAATGGATCACTTTCTATCTTTTTCTTCACTCCATCCTTTGCTTGCCTCAAACTTTCAATGGACGATATAATCTTCCAAACAAAACGTTTGTTGCAGCCACCATCTTTATCTGTATCCACTTCCATTCCGATCTGCATTTGAAGTGCCCTCAATTTCTCATTAAGTTTTCTTGTTGATTCCTGGTATTCTTTAGTGTTTTTTAACTGATCCTGGGTTAAACGGCTTAATTTGGCTTGTGTTTCTACTAATTGAATTCGTGTCCCATGCAATTGACCTCGCGTCGCATCCAAATTAACCTGTGTCTCATCCAACTGAACTCGTGTCTCATCCAAATGAACTCGTGTTTTATCTAACTGTACTCGTTGCTCATTTAACAGAACCTGTGTGCTGTTAAGTTGAACACAAGCAAATTCAAGATGCTCTCGCATGTTTGATTGAAGATGAGAATCCACGTTTTCGCGCAGAAACTAAAAAAAGAAGGCAAATCGTCTTAGCTAATTGAAAATAGATTATAATTTTTGGAGTCTTATACCATATAAATGTTGGTGTTTTGCTTAGTAATTGGCTAAGTCAGGGGCATTCAACGACTGTTTTCTGTTTTCTGTTCGAAGAAACAAATATTGCTTAGAATTGCTGTCACTTGAGGACGACTAAAAATTTCTAGATGACCGTTCAATTCATGTACTATTTTCGAAGCTTATCTAATAATTTCCCTGGATTTTCTGAAGTTTAATTTTCATATATTCCTTCCCAAGTTAGGCTATTTTTCGTAGAGGAAAGGAAACCTAAAATTTTTGGATTCAAAAATGTGACGGAGTGAGGAATCAGAACATGTCTCCCTTTTGTGGGTGGATATCAGTAATCAGAGGTGAAAAAACTAGAAGGCGTCTACTGATAACGGAAAAACGGTCAGAAGTGATCTTTTTTAGCAGATCGTTGTTGCTAAATGTACAGCTGATTAATTCTGTTTCAAATCTATGATAAATTCATTATTGTATTCAATGATCAACAACAAACCTTTTTGTTGCATCCCATTTGAGTATACGGGCAGGGGACTAGCAAAGGACAGTCCTTATCAATGTGATTTGGAATCTAAAGGAAAGGGATAAAATCATATCAGCTAACTGACTCAAGACCCAGTGCTTGGCATAGCATTTTCTAATCTAACACGCGTCTTCGGCGCATTCCAGTCGGGTCGAGATTAACGGTTTCAAGCTCTTGTGGAAAGAGCTCTCCTCGTCGCGCCGCTTCTCTCGAAACGACTGACTGCCGCTTAGGTCAGAAGAAAAGGGTTCTAAAGTTCACGTCCCTGTCAAGCCTACATTTTCTACATTTATCTATGTTTTTGCAGCCGCTTCCATCACGGTAGTCACAACGCTTCAAGGCCACGAACATAGCGATTTGTTTCCGCAAAACTGAGCCCACATATAATTTGCGTTATTTATTATTATGAGGTTTTTGTTGTCTATTTAAAAGGGAAATCAATTCAAACTTTTAAAACAAGCAACTGCCAAGACAAACAGCCGACAGCCTTACCCGCAAGGTAGAAACCCTGCGATGATGCTATACTCAGATCCTTAACAGTGACGCCACTTAAACGTCAATGGAATGCATTAATTACCATTTCTCTAGGAATTACATCTCCACAGCTATTGGGGCAAGGGAGCGGAATCTTACTGCAGTTTTCCAAGTGATCCTGCAAAAACACAAATATGTAACTTATTCTTTTTCACTTAACTGAAAAACGTCATTTTTCCAGGCCGTGGTTAGCCGAGGGAAATCTTGTTGTTTTCAGTACTAGACCGTACTACGGTGCTACTTCAATAAGGGAAACGAATTAGCTCACACATCTAAGTCAAGATCAACCAAAAGAGGTATCCGTTGTCAACTGGAAAAACTTTGGCGGAGGGGTTGAAAACGAGAGACGTGTTAATTTAAACTCTGCTTACCTGCAAGTGCCTCTTTGGGTGTGGTTCTTCACAGTATTCACATTCTATGATCCTCCATTCGCACGCGTTTGTCACGTGTTGTTCGAGGTCTTTTCTTTTCACGGTCACATGACAATTTTCGTTGTTACAAGTAACAATTTTGAACGGGCAAGCTTCCAGGTGAGCCTGTTTTAAATAATAATAACTTTGTGAGAATTGAAGGATCACTAGAGACTTGTGATCTCTTTCATTTTTCTTTTTGAGTTCCGAACTACCAAATGTCTTAGTTTCGACGCCAGTTAAGAAATTAGCTAACATTCGTGGGGATTTTCGTTAACGAATAATTGAGAATAACTCCCTGTGTCACTTTTGAGAAACAGCTCTATGGGGTATCATCACGTGGTCTGAAATGGGAAAACAAAACATACAAGGTAGAAAAAGGTCTGATTTTGTAGAAAGCGTGACGAAAAGCCCTGGTAAAAACTCTGCTTTGTCGTTTTGTAATTCAGCTGAATCATCTGAAAACGATTATGCAACAGACAGGGAGACTTGCACATGCCAAAACTGTCTCTACGAATACGAGCTTTTACCCCTCCACATTTGCATTCCACACTTTCAGTCATCAGAACTCGTAGCAAGGTGACGCCATAAGTAAAATACTTGACTTATTCAGTTTCAAAGGTGGCTGAAAGAGAATGGGGTCAACTCAATGATCATGTTTGACACAAACTGAATCCACCCGGCGCCTTCGATATAATTTTTGCTTTAGCTTGTCTTGGGTTTTTACCTCTTTGTCTCTCAGTTCACCAGTCCACAAACAACCGTCACTTGGGCATTTGATCATCATTGACAAAATTTTCCTTCCTGTTGCGTTGTCAGGAAATACATCCTACAGTATAATTGGAAAGAAAATTAAATGCAGTGCTCAAGATCAATCCAATATGAATCTCTTTGATTCAAAGGGCAGTTTTTTTATTTATTTCTTCTGTCAACGTTTGATTAGAACGTATGAGACCTTTGTGTTGTTGATGATGATGATTATTATGATTATTATTTGAAGATAGTTTTCCTTGAAATAAATACTTTAAAAGTTAATCTCGCACTTCCATGAATAAAAAATGTCAACGCGTGGATTCAACTGTCTTGTTCTAAAAGTTTGTAAAAATTTCTCGTTTCATCTCTTGCTTTCACATTTTTACCCTGTATGCTTCATTTTGCGAGCAAGGGTTAAGTAAAAAGAATAGCTAGACACTGAAGACCAAAACGCAATAGACAAAGAGGTTAGAAGGTAAATGAAAGTGATTTACCCGTTCTCGGTTCAGGCCTTCCCTATCTGCGGGACAAGTGTAAGGCTGGTTCTGAGCTTCTTGTCTGTTTTTCGGTGTGAGAGGCAATAATTAAAATGAGAAAATGAATAAATATACCAAAAAAAACGAGATAAAAAGGGAAACATACAATTTACGTTTTGAAAGTGAGCGCGGTCAATAAACAGTTTGAGTTAGAAGCTACTGTGTTAAAAGTGTAAATGTGTCTACAAGCAATTAATTTAATGTAATCGGCAAATTCTGCATTTGCTATTTGCACATGTCATACACCTTGTTGCTCCTCCCCCACCCGGCCCCCCAAAAACGTTAATTTGCATAACCTTTGTCTTTGATTTCTCTTGGGTATTACAGTGCTCCCAAGAGAAATAAAAGACAATTTAATGCTTATGCAAAATTTGGGGGGCAAAAAGGGTGTATTATGGGAGATATACATTCCCTTTGCTTTCGCTTTGTTTCAAAGGAATTGGGAGACGTCGGCAGGCTAGAAGGCCAGGTTACGCAAGAGTAACCATTTGCTGATCTATCACGTGAAACCAGATTGTCCGCATTCCTGAACAGATCAATGACACAGAACAATGGCTACTCATCTCTAAACAGAGGAAACGAAAACATTTTGTCATTCCAAAATTTGATAAATAGAAAACAAGCTTAACTCACCAATATGCTAATAGCATAATCTAAAGTGGTCACTAAAAAGCGCGAACAAATTTTCAGCTTCATTTCTATGCTATTGAAAAACTAAAATTGATAGACATGGCCTTCTTACTAAATGATTGTTTAAGCTGAGGTGACTGTTATTTGCCTAATTACCTTGGTAAAAAGGGATCACTTTCCGTACTGTTATGTACGTATTGTCGCGTCGCGTTTCCCATTGAAACACAGTGCCGGAGTTTGTACTCTACTTTAAGGTAGCAAGGTTTTGGATCAAAGCTATTTCAACATATCATAGAATTCAGTCATTTTAAATAGACGTACCTTCTCAAATGCTCCTCGAAGCATGCATTGCAAAATCTGTGACCGCATATTGTTTGAACAGGCTTTTTTAACGGCAATTGACAAATCAAGCAAATAAAATCATCTTCAACTTCATAGACAAACTCCTCGTCGTAACCTGAAGGCAACTGGAGGTTGCGTGGCGCTTCCACCATGTTGCAAAGATGCTCCGGCAGTAGGCTATTTCAAAAGCGAAACCCTCAGGGTAAAACGTTATATGTAAAGTAGAACCTCGCATTTAATCAGCAGCTTCATTAAAGTCTCTCAACCAAGAGAGATCATAAAAAATCATTTTGGGGAGGTGGGGTGGGTAGACAAACAAGAATTCGCGCCTAAACAAGCACAGGAACACCAGGATAAGGCCAGCAATCCCGTATCTTTTGAATATCTTAAACCACCACAATAACAGCAGCATAAAAAGTGAAAGCGCCACTACTTAATCACTTTCTTTGCCTGCAGCTGCCATTGATGTATACGTATTTTCCTATCATCATTATAATCATTTATTAGCCTTTGTATCAGAATAAATTTTGGAGGATATAGCAAGTATGTTAAGCGAGGAGACCTCAAGAAACTTACAGGAGAGGCCACCTCTACATCAAAAATATTAAAATAAGGGCTACGAAGGAGTGCGGCTAAACTAACTCAGTAACTGTTTTAATAAAAACTCTAGCGCTTTGTTCTTAAAGATAGAAAAGCTTGACAGGTTTGTAATAGATACAGGAAGACAGTTCTAGATTCTTGGTCCTTGGTATAAAGAATATGAAGACTGTGATACTGTGAGCGCCACTTCATAAGTAACATGGCAATGTCAGTGCTTTCAAAACAGCAAATGGTAACCCTCAGTTTCAGCCTGTCTGCGGTGTGTAAAGAGCTGCTTTTCTGTTTTAGGCGGATATAGCTAAATTTCGTTAGTTTTCCAGCAGAGTGACAGCTTCCCAGAGAAAATTGGCTTAAAGTACTTACAACTGTATAACAGCATAAAAAGTCACGCCACTACGTCACTTCATCCCTTTCTTTGTGTGCAGTTGCCATTGACGTATATGTATTCTTCGGCCTTGATAGCACTCTAGAAAATGGATTTGCTTCAAAATTGCTCAGAGGAAGAGGGACCGGCTAAAATATGTACATTTTTGATAACCAAGTAGGCTAAAGTATCTCTTAAAATGATATAAAGTACCCACTATGCAAAAAGACCATCTAGTGTTGCTACATATCAAGTTCAACCATGCGAGAACAAAAGCCTTGGAACAATGTCGACTTTTTTATAAGTGCTGAACAAACAAATAAACCGCATATCACATTATGAACAAAGCGCTCAGAGTGCTACTTTATAGCTTTCATTTTGAAGAGTAATAAGTTAAGATTTTTGGTTACAAGTGTCTGCTTCGAGTGTTTTGAATGGACGGGTGACCACCAGGCGTTGTCACTGCTAGAGTTTGTTAATTGAGTCCCTGGTGGTTCATTTTCTCTTTCTGATCAAGAACGTTACCATTTTTAAGTGAGAAGCTAAATAATATGAAGTTGCACACACACAACTCCTTTCTCTTGACAGACACCTCTATAGGACATACCCCTAGAGTTGCTGCTAATCACTCTTGAGACATTTCTTTGACGACTCTCTATAATACGGATACCTCGCTAAAACAAAAACCGAAAGTTGGTCACATGCCTTCCTTAACTCATTTGACTCTCTCTAAGACCGACGCATAGTGCCTGTCCCAAAGTTGTCCGTCTTAGAGAAAATTTCGCGAGACGGCGAAGACCACACGCTGTTGGGCGTGGCATTTACCGTTTAGTCTAAATAACGGAGTATCCCCCATCAAGACATTCATTTACTTAAAAAAAAAGTTATTAAGACGTTCAACTTCAACACAAATAATTCCTCGATGTTGTAATTTCCTGGAGTCGAAGATTCCAGTTCTTCAAGCCTTGCGTTTGCTATGGTGAATTCATTTTCCATGGATTGCAGCTTTTTACAAGCCAAGTTTAAATGGCTTTCCAAGCATAATTGTAAATGTCGGCCGAGGGCGTTTCTGGGAACCTGGAAGAAAAAGTACATCTCTTTTAAGCGACTTAAAGCAATTTGAATGCCACAAATTCAATGATCGCCTTTATACCCTCAGAGCCTATTCCAACCCCACCGTAATAGACCTTTTTACCGATACGGCGGCCATATTGAATTAATTAGATTTAAGGTGTATTATGGGATGCCCAGGGGGCATGAGCACGATCCGATATATAATACTCGCATCAGTATTTACGCGCGCGTTTCGGGCCAATTTTTCTTTAAGTTTTCCTAGAAAAAGATTGTAATGGGAGAAAAAAATCGTTGTGCCGTGTTTGGATGTAATAATGATCGCCTTTTTCCCGAGAAATATACATTGAAGATCTCTTTTTTCCCGAAAAGCGCGCGTAAATACTGAGCGAGTGCCCCCTGGGCATCCCATAATACTCCTTAAATCTAATAAATTCAATATGGCCGCCGTATCGGTAAAAAGGTCTATTTTAAAAGGTTTGCTGACCCTACCGGCATTATATATGGTGGGAAATGGTTAGCCGTTAAATAACGGCTAAGTTTAGATGTCTCCTTATGTATTGGGAATATTTAGCCGTTAATTAATGGCTAAATTCTTGGTTAGTCTAAATAGTAAAATTTAGCCGTTACTTAATGGCTAAATTTTTCGTTTGTATATATATTATTTTAATTAAAATTTAGCCGTTAATTAATGGCTAAATGTTTCGTTTGTAGAGATTTTTAATGAAAATTTAGGCGTTAATTAATGGCTAAATTCTTGGTTAGTATAAATAGTAAAATTTAGCCGTTAATTAATGGCTAAATTTTTCTTTAATAATAATACAAAGTGACTTAACGGCTAATTTTTTGTTATGTCTGTAGACAAAAATTATTGCAAATTTAGCCATTGTCTAAACATCGACCAGAAAGGTATAGAAGCAACAAACGGCATGATGCTCCTACTGACTTCTACTGTTCTTACTGTTGCCTATTGGAGTACCCCAAGGAAGTATATTGGGACCTTTATTGTTTTTTAATTTACGTGAATGATCTTCCGGACTGTCACCTGGCAAGCGATATTATTCTTTATGCAGACGATACTGTACTCTATTACTCATCCAAAAGCATCAGTGATCTTGAACATCACATCAATGCTGACTTGGGGACAGTGTCTGAGTGGTTCTCTAGAAATCTCCTGACACTAAATATATCCAAATGTAATTTTGTTATCTTTGGAAGTCCTCAGAAACTGAATCGTATTCAAGGCATTTCGGTTAAAGTAGAGGGCACTAGCATTGAAAGAACACAATCATTCAAATACCTAGGCGTAACGCTTCAACAGTCTATGTCCTGGGCAGATCATGTCGATGCTATCAGCATGAAGATTAATCAGAGAATAGGCCTAATTAGGAGAATCAGGAATCTATTGCCGCTACAAGCTAGAGTTGCCTTGTACAATGCCCTAATCCTCCCTCTTTTTGATTACGGAGACGTTATATGGGGGGACAAAAACAATGACACCATCATGTCAGAATTACAGATTCTACAGAATAAAGCTGCTAAAGTTATGCTGGGGCAACCACCCCGAAGCTCGTCAACTGAAGCACTGAAAAGTCTAGATTTGAAGTCACTGTCCACAAGAAGGTTTTTTCATCGCTGCATTGCAATCCACAAGTGTCTTATTGGAGAAACCGATTTCAGCTTTAATTTTACTAAAAGTCAAGCTGTTCATTCATATAATACAAGACGCTCTAATGATATTCGCTTACCCCTACCCAGAACAAACTGGGGTAAACAAACTTTTATTTTTCACGCCGCGAAAGACTGGAACAGCCTTCCAAATGATTTAAAAGAGTGTAATATTTTATCTATTTTTAAATCCAAGTTAAAAACTTTTTTAAAAGATCTCAGCTAATTTTAAACCTTGATGTTTTTTTTTTTTGTATAATCGATTTTAAGATTTTAAATTTTTAAATTTGTTTTACTTGTAAACATATTTTACTTTTTTCGTAATTATTAATTAATTAGTTAGATTAATGCATGAGGGCCCCACTGAAAACCGCCTTGGCGAGTTGGGCTCCCTCTATAAATATTATTATTATTATTATTATTATTATTATTATTACTGTTATTAGGACATTTATCGTTTCAAATATGATCAAAACAACCAAGTGTGATAAATCATTGACTCCCTAGGAATGTCCTCTAATCTTTTCTTCAATATGAATCCTCTTGATGCTTATTTCATCAACCAGTCCCACAATTCTGGCAAATTAACTTTCGTAAACGCGTCGTTCTAAGAAAAAAGGGCGGCTATACACAAGCTACGTCGTCCCTTCAATTTCGACTTGTAAACATCCACCGCGCACGATCTTGCGAGAAGTCTCGCGAGTTAGTTCCTTGATTTTAAGAGCTAAACTGTGATTGGCTAAAAAGTTTTTACGTCACGGAAATCATTTTGCCGCTCGGGTTCGCAGACGCTATTTTTGGGAGGGAGAGAAGCGACGACCGGAAATGCGTCTGCTGTTCACAGGCTAACGTCAATGGTGTTCCCGAAAAAAATTGCATGAATTTAACGTTTTGATTTCTCCGCTGACCAAAGCCGCAGTCTTGCGACTAATTCATCTTTTAAAATAACGTCCGCTGTGTCATCGAACTAGACTTTCCGTCGAGCTTTTGACCGTGTTTGCGAGATCTTAAAAATTCGTTCACTCTATCCAGAGCAAGAAACTGACATCTCATAACACAAAATGATCGCATGCAACATTCGGCATCTCTTACTTTACAATTGAAGGCGTCAAAACCGCCGGGTAATAAGCCTTGATCATGAAGTATGTCACTAAATAGGGTGAGGTGTCTGGTAAAAAGCTTTGTTTTTCTTTTATTTCAGTCTATTTCTCTTAAACTCTAGCCGAGAATTCAGTGAGGTAACAAATTAACCCCAGCATGGATCCGCGCCCGTTGAGGGAAAAGGGTATGGAATTCTAGTAACACCAAATGCAATCCGCGTGACCTTTATCTTTAGATGAACCTCTTGAAGGAAATTTGATGTGATGTTATATAATTTTCAGCTGTGGCCATTTTGTCTATTCTTATAACATGCATGCGGACAAACTATAAACACAAAAAAATCACTTAGGTTTCAGAGAAGTCGCACGTGACTTTTGTGCTGTTGATGAACGGCGTGTGTTGACGTATTAATGCAGTTGACGCGTGACGCCGACCAAAAAACAATGACACCCACTTCCAGGCGTTTATTTTTAAGGTTAAGAGGAATGGGTCTTATTCGCAGGAGGGTGCTCATTCGAGAGGAAGGTGTTTGGGGGTGGGGGGAGGAGTCGTTTACTAGATGCTGAAACTATATTTTGGCCAATTCTTCATATAGAAATCACCTGACACACATGTACGTAGAGATATTTGTAACTGGCTTAAAGCAGAAGAAACTATTCTTCTATGTCGACACTGATGCATGCAGTGAAATGAAAGAGAATTTCATTTTGATATCCATCCTATTTATCAAAAGTTAAGAGATAACTATGAGAACGTATGTTGAATGGTTAACTGACCGCTGAAAACAGGTTGGCAGTTCAGTGCAGGTTCAATCAACCTAAACGTTTTCTCCTTTTTGTTCAAAAAGAAAAGAAACAAGAGACCATTCAACACCACACACACAATGTAACCAGTGCACTAATATAGTGCATCTTACAAGGACAATGAAAAAAAGGAATCGATAAGGGCAAGTGACCACTGTTAAAACAGTGAGTGACTTTAATACAGGTTTGACGTTATGTATTTTCTAGATTGGCTGAGAGGGTGGGCGTTTATTCAAAGCAAATGTGGTTACAAATTAAGCGTTAATTTATTAAAATCAGTTCATTTAAATATCAAAGTTCTCAGTTCTGCAGCATACGTAGAGAATACTCAAAAGAGCCATATACTAACTGACTGAAACGTGAATAACCCCGTCTCTTTAGAAAAGGTCTCCAATTTTCTAGACCTGTGGGCTGTATAAAAAAGTATGTGAATGATTCAGTTGAAAAGAAACGGAACAAGGTGATAACTAGTCAAATGAATAGGTTTCTACATCGACCTGAAGAAACAAAGTGTCATTTAAAATGTAGCGCCTTGTTTGAAGTGTCTCCTGAGATATCGCCATCAGTGGCTCACTTTTAACTTCCTTTATTTTTTCCCCTGGTCTTTCTAAGAATACCATGTCACCAAACCATCTCAGACCTCGTGGGCTCATAGATTTTGTAATATTTTTTCTTTGTCTGATATCCTCGTTTTGATCAATTATTGTGAACATTATGTTTGTGCTGAAAGGCCAGGGTAATATATCATCATATTCACCTTTCATTAAAAAGACACCGATCGAGAGATGCGGACCACGGTTAACGTTCGGTAAAAGGTATCCCCTGCTGAAGCAAGGATCGGCAAACACTTTTAGTTTGTAGCCATAACGTCCAGTGTAGAATGGATCACTTTCCATCATTTCCTTTACTCCCTCCTTTGCTTGCCTGAAACATTCACTGAACGGTTTAATCTTCCAAATAAAACATTTTTTGCGACCATCTTGAACGGTTAAACAGCTTAATTTGGCTTGTGTTTCTACTAACTGAACTCGTGTCTCATCCAACTGAACTCGAGTCTCATCCAACCTAACTCGTGTCTCATCCAACTGAACTCGTTGCTCATTCAACTGAACCTGTGTGCTGTTAAGTTTAACACAAGCTAAGTCAAGATGCTCTCGCATGTTTGATTGAAGATGAGAATCCACGTTTTTGCGCTGAAACTGAAAATAGAAGACAAATTATCTCAGAAAATAGCATATAAATTTAGCGTATATAAAAGTTTGTGTTTGTGTAGTAATTGTTTAATTATAAGTGCCGGAGTGGTGTGGGGGTGTAAATAGAATCACTGGTTAAAGAACCGTGGGTGGCTTCTCCTGACAACACTAGTCTGTGCCACAGAGGAAACTAAACTCTGGTTAACTCCGTCTGCGAAACAGTCAACAGAAACAGATCGCTGTTGCAAAATGTACAATTTACACTGTTTTACATCTCTGCAGACTTTATTATTGTATTATTGATCAAGAACAAACCTTTTTAATGCATCCTATTTGAGCATATGGACAGGAGACCAAAGACAGAGGACAGTCGTTAACAATGTGGTTTGGAATCTAAATAGAAAGTATGAAATTAAATAAGCAAACTGACTCGGGACCCAATGCTAAGCATGGCCTTTTATTTAACACTTTTACATTAGCTCAACCTCGGCGCATTCCAGTGGGGTCGAGAAACACGGTTCCACTTGTTTTCAAGCACTAGCGGAAGGGACTCTTTGTTCTTGTCGCGCCTTTTCTCTCGACCCGACTGACTGCCCCTCAGGTCAAAATAGAAAGTTCTAAATTTGAAGCCTACATTTTCTACATTTATCTATTTTTCTTTTTTTTGCAACCGCTTTGGTCACGTGAACACAACGCTTCAAGGACCACGACCATATCGATTTGTTTCCGCCGAAGTTCACATATAAAATAATAATATATTTGTTTACTCGCTATGAGGTTTTTGTTGTCCATTTAAAAGGGGAAATCAATTAAAACTTTTTAAAACAAGCAACTGCCAAGAAAAACAGCCAGCAGCCTTACCAGCAAGGTAGAAAGGCCTGCGATGATGCTATACTCCGATCTAACCTGAGATCAGCCTCAATTTTCGTTTCGCTTTGTAAATAACATTGCGACGGGCAAGGCGAAACGAAAACTTTTAGCGGTAGCCGTTAGAGAGAATGTATGAGAACCGCTAAAATTGAGCCTGATCTCGGTTTCTCCGATCCTCAATGACGTCACTTAAACTACAATGAAATGCATTAATTACCATTTCTCTAGGAATTACATCTCCACAGCTACTGGGGCAAAGGAGTGGAAACCTACTGCAGTTTTCCAAGTGATTCTGCAAAAACACAAATATAGAACTTTTTTAAACTTAAACCGAAAAACGTCATTTTTCAGGCCGTTGTAAACCAAGAGAAAACTTGTACTCAGTACTACGGTGCTTCGTCCGATGAGGGAAAAGTTTCAGCTCACACATCTGAGTCAAGATCAAACGAAAGAGGTATCCATCGTCAACTGGAAAAACTATTGCAGAGGGCTTAAAAAAGAGAGTCCCTGTTATTTTTAATTCTGTTTACCTGCAAGTGCCTCTTTGGGTGTGGTTCTTTACAGAATTCACATTCTATGATCCTCCACTCGCACGTGTTTGTCATGTGTTGTTCTAGGTCTCTTCTTTTCACGGACGCATGGCAATTTTCGTTGGTACAAGTAACAATTTTGAACGGGCAAGCTTCCAGGTGAGCCTGTTGTAAATAATAACAACTTGTGAGAATTGAAAGATCGCTAGAGAAGAAGTGATCTCTTTCCTTTTTCTTCTTGAGTTCCGAACTACCAAATGTCTTAGTTTCGACGCCAGTCAAGAAATTCGTGAGGATTTTTGTTAACGAATAATTGAGAATAGCCTGTGTCACTTTGTGTCTCTGTGTTTCCTAAATTATGCGTACCAAGAGAGAATGAGCTAGCTCATTCTCTTGTGCATCATATGATGACGTTAGAAAAAAAAACAGTTCTCTGGGGTATCTGTCACGTGATCTGAAATGGGAAAAAACATACAAGCTAAAAGGTCTATATTTTTTTAAAAGGCGTGACGAAAAGCCCTGGCAAAAAGTCTACTTTGTCGTGTTGTAATTCAGCTCAATCATTGCATTTTACCCCTTTACACTTTCAGTCTTCAGGACGCGTAGCAACGCATAAGCAAAATATTTGATTTATTCAGTTTCAAAGGTATTCAACTTGGAAATGACCAACGCGCCTTGGATATAATTTTTGTTTTGGGTTTTTACCTCTTTGTCTCTCAGTTCACCACTCCACGAACAACCGTCACTTGGACATTTGATCGCCATTGACAAAATTTTCCTTCCTGTTGCGTTGTCAGGAAATACATCCTGCAGTATAATTGGAAAGAAAATTAAATGCAGTGCTCAAGATCAATCCAATATGAGTCTCTTTGATTCAAAGGGCAGTTTTTTTATTTATTTCTTCTGTCAACGTTTGATTAGAACGTATGAGACCTTTGTGTTGTTGATGATGATGATTATTATGATTATCATTCGAAGATGGACTTTCTTTAAATTGCTTAAATACTTTTGAAATTATTCTCGCACTTTCATCAATAAAAGTGGGGTCAATGCGTGGATAAAACTGTCTTGTTCTAAAAGTTTTAAAAAATTTATTGATTCATTACTTGGTTTCAGATTTTTACACTGTATGCTTCATTTTGCGAGCAAGGGTTAAGTAAACAGAATAGCTAGACTCTGAAGACCAAAACGCAATAGACACAAAGGTTACAAGGTAAATGAAAGTTATTTACCCGGTCTCGGTCCAGGCCTTTCCTATCTGCAGGACAAGTGTAAGGCTGGTTCTGAGCTTCTTGTCTGTTTTTCGGTGTGAGAGACAATAATTAAAATGAGTAAATGAATAAATATACAAAAAAAACAGATAAAAAGGAAAACATGCAATTTACGTTTTGAAACTGTTTGAAACAGTTTGAGTTAGAAGCTACTGTGTTAAAAGTGTAAATGTGTCTACAAGCAATTAATTTAATGTAATCGGCAAATTCTGCATTTGCTATTTGCACATGTCATACACCTTGTTGCTCCTCCCCCACCCGGCCCCCCAAAAACTTTAATTTGCACAACCTTTGTCTTTGATTTCTCTAGGGTATTACAGTGCTCCCAAGAGAAACAAAAGACAATTTAATGCTTATGCAAAATCTGGGGGGCAAAAAGGGTGTATTATGGGAGATATACATTCCCTTTGCTTTCGCTTTGTTTCAAAGAAATTGGGAGACGTCGGCAGGCTAGAAGGCCAGGTTACGCAAGAATAACCATTTGCTGATCTATCACGTGAAACCAGATTGGTCCGTATTCCTTAACAGATCAATGACATCAAACAATGGCTACTCATCTCTAAACAGAGGAAACGAAAACATTTTGCCATTTGAAAATTTGATGAATAGAAAACGAGCTTAACTCACCAATATGCTAATAACATAATCTAAAGTGGTCTCTAAAAAGCGCGAACAAATTTTAAGCTTCATTTCTATTCTATTGAAAAACTAAAATTGACAGACGTGGCCGTCGTACTAAATAATTGTTTAAGCTGAGGTGACTGTTATTTGCCTAATTACCTTGGTAAAAAGGGATGACTTTCCGTGCTGTTATGTCCGTACTGTCGAGTTTCCCACTAAAACACTGTGCCGGATTTTGTACTCTACTTTAAGGTAACAAGGTTTTGGATCACAGCTATTTCAACATATCATAGAATTCAGTCATTTTAAATAGACGTACCTTCTCAAATGTTCCTCGAGGCATGCATTGCAAAATCTGTGACCGCATCTTGTTTGAACAGGCTCTTTTAACGTCAATTGACAAATCGAGCAAATGAAATCATCTTCAACTTCATTGACAAACTCCTCGTCGTAACCTGAAGGTAACTGCGGGTTGCGTGGCGCTTCCACCATGTTGCAAAGATGCTCCGGCAGTAGGCTATTTCAAAAGCGAAACCCTCAGGGTAAAACGTTATATGTAAAGTAGAACCTCGCATTTAATCAGCAGCTTCATTAAAGTCTCTCAACCAAGAGAGATCATAAAAAATCATTTTGGGGAGGTGGGGCGGGTAGACGAACAAGAATTCGCGCCTAAACAAGCACAGGAACACCAGGATAAGGCCGGCAATCTCGTATCTTTTGAATATCTTAAACCACCACAATAACAGCAGCATAAAAAGTGAAAGTGCCACTACTTAATCACTTTCTTTGCCTGCAGCTGCCTATATATGCCTGTATATGTATTTTCCTGCCTTGGTAACATTTCCTATCATCATCATAATCTTTTATTAGCCTTTGTATTATAATGAATTTTAGAGGATACAGCAAGTATGGTAAGCGAGGAGACCTCAAGAAACTTATAGGAGAGGCCACCTCTACATCAAAATATTTCAAGAAATAAGGGCTGCGAAGGAGTGCGGCTAAACTAATTCTGTAACTATTTTAATAAAATCTCTTGCACTTTGTTCTTAAAGACAGAAAAGCTTGACAGGTTTTTTGGATCTTTAATAGATGCAGGAAGACAGATTCTTGGTCCTTGGTACAGAGAATACGAACACTGTGATATTGTGAGCGCCACTTCATAAGTAACATGGCAGTAATGTCAGTGCTTCCAAAACAGCAAATGGTAACCCTCAGTTTCAGCCTGTCTGCGGTGTGTGAAGAGCTACTTTTCTGTTTTAGGCGGATGTAGCTAAAAGTCGTTAGTTTTCCAGCAGCGCGACAGTGTCCTAGAGAAAATTGACTTAAAGTACGGGTAACCACGAGGCGTGGTCAATGCTAGACTTTGTTAATTGAGTCCCTGGTGGTTCATTTTCTGTTTCTGATCAAGAAACATGCCATTTTTAAGTAAGAAGCTAAATAACGAAATTGCACACACACAACTCCTCTCTCTTGACAGACACCTCTATAAGACATACCCGTAGAGTTGTTGCCAATCACTTTTTAGACATCTCTTTGACGACTCTTTATAATACGGATACCTCGCTAAAACAAAAACCGAAAGTTGGTCCCATGCCTTCCTTAACTCATTTCAGTTAACTCTCTCTAAGACGGACGCATAGTGCCTGTCCCAAAGTTGTCCATCTTAGAGAAAATTTCGCGAGACGGCGAAGACCACATGCTGTTGGGCGTGGCAGGTACCGTTTAGTCTAAATAACGGAGTATCCCCCCGTCGAGACATTCATTTACTTAAATAAAACCATTAAGACGTTCAACTTCCACACAAATAAAAATAGTGTCATTGGCAAGATAGCGTCTTGATTTGAGTCGTTCTTGAGTGATGAATTTGCAGAAACCGAAAGCTGTGTTCCTCGGTCTTGATTCTGAAGGTTTAGAATAACAGAAGCATAAGTGTGCATTGTTTCTTGGAAGACTCGACATCTGCACGTTTCTCTTCAGATATGGATTCGGCTGTTGGTCAATGAGAGTGATTATCACCTTCTGGTTAAAAGGCCAGGGTAATATGTCGTCGTATTCCCCCCTCAAAAGACAAACAAATAAGGATAAGTGTGTGTTCCATCCTGTATTTAATCCGTTGGGGTGGAATTCTACACACATTTTGTAACCGTACGGACCAGTCAGAAACGGATCACTACAGTAAAACATCTTTGAGCCATACTTCGCTTTTTGCATGGCGTCGTCGAATTGGGTAAATTTCCAGATAAACTTATTACTGACATGAACATCAGTGGATAGCTGTTGAAGAGACGAGATCAATGGCTTTACACCAGGGATATTTTCTTCACATTGTTCGTCTCCGTTCGTACTTTCATCTTCCTTAATGTGCTGTGGTCGTATGTAACGAGAGCTTTTTATCTGACGCCCGGGATGCAATTCGCGCCTTGTCTCTGGCGGCGGAAATGGTGGCGCGGTAGGTGTAAGTATCGTCGGCAGTTTTAAAGGTCTTGAAAGACCAGCTTGTACGCCTGTTGCACTTTCTGATGGGCCAGAACGTTCTAGAAGCTTTCTCTTTACAGCTTCGATTTCATTTTGCAAGTCTTCCGAGATTCTGCGGTTCCTTTCAATCAATTCATCAAACTCTTGTTGCTTTCTTATGTTTAGATTTTCAAGTAGCTTAATCTTTTTATTACTCTCAGCAATTTCAAGCTTGCTTGTCGCGAGCGATGCTTCTATCGCGCTTATTCGATCGACATTATGAGACACTGTACTGTGTAATTCCTCGATGTTGTAATTTCCTGCAGTCGAAGATTCCAGTTCTTCAAGCCGTGCGTTTGCTATGGTGAATTCATTTTCCACGGATTGCAGCTTTTTACAAGCCATGTTTAAATGGCTTTCCAAGCATAATTGTAAATGTCGGCCGAGGGCGTTTCTGGGAACCTGGAAGAAAAAGTACATCCCTTTGAAGCGACTTAAAGCAATTTGAAAGTCACAAATTTAATGATCGCCTTTATACCCTCAGAGCCTATTCCAACCCCACCGCAATAGACCTTCTTACCGATACGGCGGCCATATTGAATTAATTGGATTTAAGGAGTATTATGGGATGCCCAGGGGCATGAGCACGATCCGATATACTCGCATCAGTATTTGCGCCCGCGTTTCGGGCCAATTTTTCTCTAATTTTTCCTAGAAAAAGATTGTAATGGGAGAAAAAGATCGTTGTGCCGTGTTTGGATGTCATAATGATCGCCTTTTTCCAGAGAAATATACATTGAAGATCTCTTTTTGCCCCAAAAGCGCGCGTAAATACTGAGCGAGTGCCCCCTGGCCTGGGCATCTCATAATACTCCTTAAATTTAATAAATTCAATGTGGCCGCCGTATCGGTAAAAAGGTCTATTTTAAAAGGTTTGCTGACCCTACCGCCAACAATGCACAATAATTTCCGTCAAATAATGAGCGTGGGATCTCTAGCGACTATTGTACAGCTTCATCTTTAGAGTGAGGCCGCCTTCAGTACTATGCTTATTGACACACGCTTCCCTGGCCATTTTTAAGGCAAACGGTAAACATCAATTTTTAACACGTGACCAAGTGATTTCGTTTACTTACCATTTACTGTATACCATTTCTACACATGAAAAATTAGTCCAATGAGACAGACTCATCCATAAGAATTTTTTTTTAGTTTTCAGGTCCGTTCATTACCTAATTTGAAAAACTGTCTAACAGGCCACTTCCGAGTTCCCAAAACCCTCACTTTCAAAATGAGGCCAGGTGCACAACCTTTCTTGTGAAAATGAGTTATATTTGCATGAGAATGAAAAATCATTTCCATATCAAAGGCTGAGCAACTACCCTCGTTTTGAAACAGAGGCCCGGGGGAGCTCGGAAATAGCCTATTCCTTGAATTGAAACTGCGAACAAGAATTGTCTCATCAGTTAGCGACCATTATAAAAAACTAAGATGGTACCCGCGTATTTGATTGGTTAAAAACCTATGGTTTATTCTGCCGGTAAACTCATAGAAAACTTTAAGTTATTTTGTAAAAGCTCGTGATTTACAAGCTTTTCTTGTGTTCTCCCAACATCCCAAGTAGGTTATCATGCCTGTAAACCCATAGAAAGTGTGGTCTATTGCTTAATTGTTTGACGGATAGCAGAATCAGTATCATATTAAGCAACAGCTGTTTAGTTACCTTGGCCTGACATCCTACATGTGCATAAGAACAGCTCACTTCAGTAAGACCACAGTCTTTTTCCAGGTGACTGTTTAGCTGAAGTGGAAAAACAGAAGAAACAATCGATTAATCGCGTTTTTGACGAAGTTATATCCACAGATTAGCTAACAATTGTCCTGTCACATATATCCAGTCATGAGAGCCAGTGACATATTGAGGGGTAGTGTAGAATTAGTGTTGAACACTTCTGCTTAAAATTGGATAGGATTCCTGTATAGATTTATAAACATTTTATAGAGTAGTGCATGAAAAGGCCTGCGATTTCTATGAATCAAAGACTAGTTAAATAATTTAGCACAGAAAAAAGAGAAATACTGCCTGAACCCAGTCGTAATTATCAATTGATTCTTACAAAGTTTATCAAAATCGATCATTTGCGCTGCACAGTATCTTCTAATTTTTATAACACGTAATTATCAGTGTTTACTTAGCTACGACTGAAGAAGAACCTTTCCGCTGCTGTATATATATCGTATATATTTTACACAAAATGTTATATACCTCGTTTCTGGGAATGTTGTCTTGACCACACCTCTGAAGGCAAGTGCACGGAAATCGTTGGCAGGAGTTGAAGTGCTCCTGAAAAAAATATAATAAACAACAATTTTCAAGGTAGAAAGAAAGTGACTACGCGAAACATATTACAAACTGAAATACCACAGTTACTGAAAAAACTGGGGAAGAAATACTAAAACAATTTCATTCCAGAAATAGCTCAGTATTTGACTAAAGAAGAACTTGTGCATTCACTTTTGGTGAGTTAGCCTGCGAAAACATCCGTTTCTCCTCGCTCTTCGTCGCTGGGGACGTTTCGCGCGGAGGAACGTCTGCGACTCAGCGACAGAAATTCCATACTGATGACGTAAAATATGTCCAGAATCCGGTCAGAAGCCCTGATTGGTCGAAGACTTGCCCGGTAAGTAACTTGAGCCCGGTTTTCGGACCGTCTATTAAAAGGAAAATAGGAATAAGAGAAGCGATCACCTAGCAACGCGAGAAACGGCTTCCTATATCTTATTTAGCGCTAAAACTCATATATATAAACAAAACACATGTGCACAAAGTGGAGTTGAAAAGTCTTTATTTCCGTTTAGTTTATGTCTTCTTATTGAGCTCTAAAACTCGGATACATATAAACAAAATACACAAAGTAGAACTGAAAACTCTATTTCAATTTTGTCTGACGTTTTCTCCGTTCTATCTCGAGGAAATGAAAAACTATTAAAGTCTTGTAATTTCACGCACGGTTAATCAGTTAATTATGCGATTTCGCAAGCCCAAAGTTGAATACAAATTAGCTCTACAGGAAAGACCCAAGGGAGAGAATCTTGACGTATTATTATAAAACAAATAACTTAACAAGGATCAATTAAAACACGCGACTAATAATTGCTAGCAATAAAATCTGACACGAGATACCGTTTAAAACAAAAAGAGTCAAATACACAGCGATTTGAAAGAAATCTATTAAAACAGTCAAAGAAAGCAAGTCATGTTTTACTTACCCCTCTCCCTTTTCAATTTTATATCCCTCTCAATTTTTTTCTTTTTCTCTTCTCCACAATTTTATTGTTTTCCCTCCTCCTCCTCCTCCTCATTTTTGTTTTCCTCCCTCCTCCTTCTCATTTTTTATTGTTTTCCCTCCTCCTCCTCCTCCATTTTTATTTTTTCCCTCCTCCTCCTCCTCCTCATTTTTTGTTCCCTCCTCCTCCTCCTCCTCCTCATTTTTTATTATTTTCCCTCCTCCTCCTCCTCCTCATTTTTGTTTTCCCTCCTCCTCCTCCTCCTCCTCCTCATTTTTGTTCCCTCCTCCTCCTCCTCCTCCTCATTTTTATTGTTTTCCCTCCTCCTCCTCCTCCTCATTTTTTATTGTTTTCCCTCCTCCTCCTCCTCATTTTTTATTGTTTTCCCTCCACCACCACCACCACCACATTTCTATTGTTTTCCCTCCACCACCACCACCACCACCACATTTCTATTGTTTTCCCTCCACCACCACCACCACCACCACATTTCTATTGTTTTCCCTCCACCACCACCACCACCACATTTCTATTGTTTTCCCTCCACACCCACCACCACCACCGCCACCACATTTTAAGGGAAACAATAAAAATGTGGTGGCGGTGGTGGTGGTGGTGGTGGAGGGAAAACAATAGAAATGTGGTGGTGGTGGTGGTGGAGGGAAAACAATAGAAATGTGGTGGTGGTGGTGGTGGTGGAGGGAAAACAATAGAAATGTGGCGGTGGTGGTGGTGGTGGTGGAGGGAAAACAATAGAAATGTGGTGGTGGTGGTGGTGGTGGAGGGAAAACAATAGAAATGTGGCGGTGGTGGTGGTGGTGGTGGTGGAGGGAAAACAATAAAAATGAGGAGGAGGAGGAGGAGGGAAAACAATAAAAATGAGGAGGAGGAGGAGGAGGAGGAGGAGGGAAAACAATAAAAATGAGGAGGAGGAGGAGGAGGAGGAGGAGGGAACAAAAATGAGGAGGAGGAGGAGGAGGAGGGAAAACAAAAATGAGGAGGAGGAGGAGGAGGGAAAATAATAAAAATGAGGAGGAGGAGGAGGAGGAGGGAACAAAAATGAGGAGGAGGAGGAGGAGGGAAAATAAAAATGAGGAGGAGGAGGAGGAGGGAAAACAATAAAAATGAGAAGGAGGAGGAGGGAAAACAAAAATGAGGAGGAGGAGGAGGAGGGAAAACAATAAAATTGTGGAGAAGAGAAAAAGAAAAAAATTGAGAGGGATATAAAATTGAAAAGGGAGAGGGGTAAGTAAAACATGACTTGCTTTCTTTGACTGTTTTAATAGATTTCTTTCAAATCGCTGTGTATTTGACTCTTTTTGTTTTAAACGGTATCTCGTGTCAGATTTTATTGCTAGCAATTATTAGTCGCGTGTTTTAATTGATCCTTGTTAAGTTATTTGTTTTATAATAATACGTCAAGATTCTCTTCCTTGGGTCTTTCCTGTAGAGCTAATTTGTATTCAACTTTGGGCTTGCGAAATCGCATAATTAACTGATTAACCGTGCGTGAAATTACAAGACTTTAATAGTTTTTCATTTCCTCGAGATAGAACGGAGAAAACGTCAGACAAAATTGAAATAGAGTTTTCAGTTCTACTTTGTGTATTTTGTTTATATGTATCCGAGTTTTAGAGCTCAATAAGAAGACATAAACTAAACGGAAATAAAGACTTTTCAACTCCACTTTGTGCACATGTGTTTTGTTTATATATCTGAGTTTTAGCGCTAAATAAGATATAGGAAGCCGTTTCTCGCGTTGCTAGGTGATCGCTTCTCTTATTCCTATTTTTCTTTTAATAGACGGTCCGAAAACCGGGCTCAAGTTACTTACCGGGCAAGTCTAGGCAAGCCTATTGTTCCTATTGTAGTAGAGTGACGCTCATTAGTAAACCTAATCCAAATTAGTATGCAGGAAGACACTTCTTTCCGAGGTGACGTCATAGACTAGACCCATATGCCTATTAATAAAGGGAA